CATCCTTCTTGAAGTGCGGCGCCCAGAATTGCACGCAGTACTCCAACTGCGGTCTGACCAGCGCCCGATAGAGGGGAAGTATCACCTCTTTGGATCTATTCAGCATGCATCTGCTGATGCACAATAAAGTGCCATTGGCTTTTCTGATGGCTTCGTCACACTGCCGACTCATGTTCATCTTGGAGTCCACTAGGACTCCAAGATCCATTTCCACTTCCGTGCCACCAAGCAGGTCATTCCCTAGGCTGCAGGTGTGCTGGACATTTTTCCTCCCTAGGTGCAGCACTTTGCATTTCTCCTTGTTGAACTGCATTCTGTTGTTTTCTGCCAACTTGTCCAACCTGTCCAGGTCTGCTTGCAGCTGTTCCCTGCCCTCCGGCATGTCCACTTCTCCCCATAGCTTTGTGTCATCTGCAAACTTGGACAGAGTACATTTCACTCCCTCGTCCAAGTCGCTGATGAAGACATTAAAGAGTATCGGTCCAAGGACTGAGCCCTGCGGGACCCCACTGCCCACACTGTTCCAGGTCGAAGCTGACCCATCCACCACGACTCTCTGGGTGCGACCCTCTAGCCAATTTGCCACCCACCGGACTGTGTAGTCATCCAAGTCACAGCCTCTTAACTTGTTCACCGGTATGGGGTGGGATACCGTATCGAAGGCCTTCCTGAAGTCTAAGTATTAATGCTACAGTATCTTGACATCTCTAATGGAGGATTCTAAGAAATCCAACAAAATGTTCCAGTAACGTATTCCTACTCGCAGGTTAGCAAGATCACCAGAAACAAGTGTCACAGGAAGGGTTCCTCATCTATCAAGTGAGGGATGAGCACATCTGCAAGTTTTTGTTGAAAGGAACTGGATTGTAATTCCAGCAGCTATGGTAATCCCAGCTGACACACTGAGACAGATGGGTGCTTTGCATTTTGGGATGAGAGCATACCTGAGATTAGCCTGGGGATTGTTTGTTGGCCAGGCATGAAAGCCAAGCAGCACATATACAGAAGGTGTGCCAAGGGTTGAGTAGATCCCAGCAAAAGCAGACTCTGTAATGGCACAAAATCCCATCCAGAGCCTGGTAGAAGGTAAATGCTGACCGACCTGGTCCCTATGAGTAACAGGACCTGCACTATCACCATAGATGTTTATTCTGATTTCTGGGTGATGGACTCTCAAGAGGGCGCTCCAGGAAAGACCTGTGATCCTGATGCTGAAGGTGCTGTTTAAGTATGGCACAGTGGGTGGGCTTTGCTCAATCAGAGAGCCACGGTGCTTCTGCAGCTGGATTCAAACAGTGCCAGACAGGAAGTTGAACAGAAGACGTCTTCCTTGGGGTGCTCACAAATCAATGTGAAAGCTGAGTTGGCATTAAATATAGCTAAGAGACTGATATGATGGTCTAGCAATGCCAGATAGGGCTCCTAAGATGTTCATCTAAGGACGGCGTAGTAACCCTAGCACAGGGGCTGAGAGGCTGGAGAGCCAGGGCTCGGCTTGACGTGAAGGATAGTCTGCTCCAGCCTGGTGAAATGATAACAGATAGGACATGAGCAATATAAGGGAATGCCAAGCAAAACCAACAGCCTGTTACAGCAAAGGAGCCAAGGCCCTGAAGCTGTCACACGCAAGTGAACAGCCCAATCACCAAGTAGCCACACAAAGCAACTGCAGAAGGCAAAAGGCCAAGCTGCAATGGGATGCAGGTCATATGAGGCAGCTGCAGATTCAGGACAGCAGCAGAGGAAAAAGCAAAGTTGACTGTGCAGCAGTGGCAGGCAGCCAACGCTTACAGACAGATGGGGCCCAAAGTCAGGACCAGGAGGACTTGGAACAAGCCTCAGCCATCATCTAGTCTAAGGTAGGAAAGGTAGTGATACAGAGCATGGACAGGATGCCACCCAACAGAGAGGAAGCAGGAACGGGGTAGAAATGAGTCCCCCACCAGAAAAAAACAAGTCGGATATTGGTTTGAAGACTAATACACTTCGGTTACACAGACTAGCTCCAGACTTACCATGGCTGATATCTTGACTGTCTGAGCAAGGACTCAGACAGAAAGCAAACGTTTCCTGAAGAGGCTTGCAAAGTGACAACATTAAAACAAAGAACTGAACATCACCCTTCAAGGACTGCAAATCCTAGCGGCACACAGTGGTCCAATGGCAAAGGCCAGATCCCTTCTGGAATCTTTGGCCTTGGCGTGTTAGCAAATGCTTGCACAATGCTTGCCACGAAAACAGTTTGAAGCAAAGCTGAACCGTGGATCTCAGAGCGGGGAGCGGAGTTTGCAGGAGGGAGGAGCGTGGAGAAGGCATCAAAAGCTGGTCTGCAACGTGTATGGCCTAAATGCTAGAGGCAACAGCAGCATCTCTGTAACAAGGCCTACCTCTTATGGAGCGTTTCTTTATTGGTTGATCTTGAAGCACTTTTCAAAATAAGTTAAAAATCATTGTCCTCCTACTAGAAATGAAGTGGTTGAGGTATAAATTATTAGCTGCTGTCACCCAGCTGGCCATGGGTAGAGTTGGGAAGAGAACCCCAGTCTCCAAAGTTCACTTCTACAAGCCTGGCATCCACTCATGCATGATTTTCAGTAACTAAGTGCCTGTCTGGTTGCTCTACATTAGCCTTATTACTGATGCTGCTGTGTAATATATCCCCACCGATACAATAGAGGCAGCTCACCTTCTCATTACCTATCAGTTGCAAAGCATTAGAAAGTGCTCCCTCGTCAGTCCATCATAGATTAAATGCCCTAATCAGGCAAAGCTTCCACCGATGCCGAGGAGACTTCCCTTGTTTTCTGCCTAAAGGTAGCCTGTCTCAGTAGCTCCTGGGGAAGGACGATCACATCAGTTCAAGTGACTTCTATAAACACAAAGGGTAACTCTCTCAAATGTCAGCGTGTCATGAAAATCCCCCACAAAACAGGCGCTGGAGCAGTGTCCTTGGAGTCCGCGGCTTGGCTGGGTGGAATGAAGGACAAACCGTAGCTGACTTTAATTGCAGACTTGAAAAAAGAAGAATGAAAATTGCCATCATTTCTGAAAACCCACGGGAGAGAAAGAGAGTCTGTTTATTTGGGTGTAAGTTGCTCTCTGTAGCTCTTCGGCTGGCTGAAGTTCTAGCTAAATGTTAAATTTGTCGTCTTAAAGTGACCATGGAATAGCACCGCTTCAGAAACTCCTGTATAATCTTATGTATTTAGGACAAAAATAAATCCTACCTTGGGGTAGTACTACAGTTTTGTCTGCAGGAAGAGGGGGGAAATGTTTGCCTTCCAGTGTTTGCTTTGAACTTCTGAGCTTATTAGAGCCCTGAATCAATATTCAGCACAATTTCATTACCCGTCAAGTGAATTTGGGCTTCTTATTCAATGTGATTATTTCCCACCCTCTAGCTGTTGGAGAGACTCTTAAATACCCTTTTGCTCCAGACTGATCAAAACATTAGCAGAGCCTTGTGATGTTTGGACATGCTATTCAGCACTAGATTCATTAATCTTTTGGATTTTTGACAGATGTTAAGTAAAAGCAGCTGTATGTCCTTTACTGATCAACACAAAATACTGGTTGGAGCCTGGAGGAATAACACAGAATATATTGAGTTATGTGCCACGAATGTATAATTGAAATAGATAAAATAACTAGAAAATAAAATATAAAATTGGAGCCTGACATTATTAGGTATAATGTTTGAAGAGTATTTAAGAGTTTAATTTTCTAACAGTTCAGAATGTTTGAAGGGTAATCAAATTATTCCATAGAAAAACCCCGTAATTAAAAAAAAACATGCAGTTAACATCTCTATGAGATATTAGTTGAGGATATGGAATTAAGCAATTTTATATCCAAGGCTGGAATTAATTTGTAAGAAATTCCTCCGGTAAAAGGATTTCTGTAATACTTTGGAGGCAGACTCTGCCAATTCTTTAGAAATTTCCACAGTTACTAGGAAAAATTGCATGTATTATGAGACAAGCCTAATAGATCATAGAGTTAGTCACTTAAACCTGCAGGAAACACATTTATTAGGGTTTAATCTATATTATTAAGTACTCATGGGGAATCCACTATTAAGTTATAAATCATTGTCACGGATGGGCTCTATAAAACAATGAGTTTTGCCTGTAATTTCACTGTCATCTTTCAGCCTTTAGAAAGAGGAAGGGAAAATGTTACCTGGAGAATTTAGAACTATTTGTGCGAGACAGCTGAAGTTTGCGGGGGCAGATTGTACAGCTCTTGCTCACACTGGCAAACATTTAACATTTGTGTGAACTTTACTCCAAAGTGCTCATCAGTGTGAGCAATGGACTTGGTTAAAAGAAGGCATAAGGAGTCTGGTCCACAGCCTGTTAATGTCAATAAAAAGATCCCTATTGTCTTAAATGGATTTTGATTCAGATCCAAAGGCTGCAATTAACTTTGCACATGGGAGTGAACTGTTGTTCTTCATTGAAATACTTTGATGAGTAAAGGTAAGCATACCTGTAAAGATGGGGGCCTCAGGTTCTTATTTTATTTTTTTATACCTCTGCAAATGTTTTTAGGACTGCTTTACTTGAAAGGGATGGGAGTCTCATATAAATGTGACACTCTATGCACGTGGTCAAGTTGAACCTACAGCAAGTCTTGAATCCTTAGCTGACTAAAGTGTGTTGTGGTTGTTCAGATCTGAGTCTGGTTTACACACTTGTCATTTCAGTAGCTGAATACCGGTAATTGTAAGAGTGTGAGGACAGTAGCAGCAGGCATACATTAATGTTACTTTTGAAGGGTGAGACTCTAACCATTCCCCAAGGACCATGCATGTAGGGCTCTTTGCTGCAACAATAAGCTGCTCAAGTCAGCAAATGTATTGTGTGCTGTCACATTAGGAGCTTGCTAATAGCAAAAGTTCTAAGTGTCAGGTAGAGGCTGATTTACCTGCTGAATGTGACAGGGATATCGCTGGAACAAGTTTCTGGATGGGGTACTTGGCAGGAAGCGGCACTTACTAATTAATACAATGCTTTTTGACTAATGCATGTGTCCATGTCATGCAGATACTAGCTTGCATTTGACAGCCTTTTTAGTTTCACTCCATTGCATTGGACTAACCAAGATCTATGGGAGAGCAGAGTAGACAGTGATATTTTATGACTGCATTGGCCAAGTGGAACCACAATCCATTGTTCAGTCTAACAGGAATCTATACAATCCAGGAGGGCAGCGTCTCCCTGGGTTGACTCCGGGCAGACTTCAGCAGATCTGGAGTGGAACCTGAACAGAGACTTCTGCACCCATCGCTACTCTACTGCCAACCCCCAGCAGAGACTGAAAGAGATTATGAGGCTATCTAGGGCTGCTTCTCACAGGAGTGAGATTGGTCCCTTTGTCCCTGTCCATGTACATATCTTGGAGGTTTATTTAATGTGTCTTTGAATGACCTTAGAATGTATTGCATCAAGACAGATAAATATTCTCCCAAATTTGCAAAGAAACACCGATTCGGACTTCAACAACACAAAGCAATATAACATTACAGATCAACGCAGGGGGCTGTATCAATCTCATTTCATATCCAAATCTACATTTCTACTATTACATCTTGCAGGAAAAAAAACACTTGGTCTGGCTCAATAGGGATGTAATATATTGGCATCAGTAGCGTAGATATTACAGAGGACTTTGATTCATACACCTCACACCATTATTTCCTTGAATCTACATTTCACTTCAGTTATTTGATTTGGTGTCAGACAGAGCTGCAGATGGTAAAGGGTCCTGGCATTTTATTGCTGCTGCCTAGATGATATTACTAATGTTTCTGAGACTGTTATAAAGCATGGAAGTGAGGCATAAATCTATAAAGGTAGCCTGACTGCTGTAAAACTGTAAAATAAATAAATGGCTTTTACATTTCCTGCTAGGATGATAAGAAAGAACTTGACCAATCAACTGCTAATTCTGTTGATTAAAATTGATAGACGAACTTGCTTTAGCCAGATTAAATATAATAGGGCAACCACACTATTGGCCTCACAAGTATGTAAACATGATTCAATAAAGGGGAATAGAACAAACAGCATAAGCCTATTTCTTTTGAGCTGACACATGGTTATCAACGAGAGCTGACCAATGCAGGATTTTTAGCTGACAAAAAATGTTCATTATTTTTAAAAATGTTGGTATTGGTCTGAATCAGATTGCAACAAAAAAAACATTCGTTTCTCTAATGCAGCATTTCTGAAACATAATATGATCTCGGGGCTCCTGGGTAAATTTCTTGGTGTTGAAACTGACAAGAATGTCAGTTTCGCTGTCCCCTGGCTGGAGCTCTCAGGATCTGGGACTCTTGGGTATGTTGGCTTTCCTCAGACAGGGACCTGGGGGGTCCCAGACTCCCAGGGCACTTAGCTGCCCTGCTGCTTCCCTGGGATTCTGGAACCCGATGTCTCAGCTGGGAGCAGTGATCCACAGATCCCTGGAGCCTGTGAGGCCTTGCTCTGTCGCCAGGAGCCTGGAAATCCTGGGAGGCTTGGTTCTACTAGCAGCCCACCGCGATTTTTTTTGGGGGGACTGCAAAACTGCTTTTCTTGGCGGAATATGTTCCTACAGTCCTTTCTTGTCATGGCACCAAACACTTTCAGCTTTTCCTTCTGTGAGTTATGCTGTTTGCTCAAATGCCTCTGCTGGCAGCTTGCTCCCTGTGTTTTGCTCTACTTAATGTTAGGGGAGGAGTGGAGTGCTGGCCTCAGTTGTGCTTTCCTTGCATTTAGGTGGCACAGTGATTCACTACCCAACCTCTGGACCCCTGAGAAGAGATCCTGATTCCCAGTTTACAGGTGAGCATGAGTTTGGTATCAACTGTTTAGGACATCTCCAAAGATAAGTGGAAACACCTGACTGGGTCATGGCAGGCGTATTCATTCCTCACTGCTGTGAACATTCAGTACCCCCACAGACCAGACCAACACAGTACTCTCAGACCAGACCAACATTCAGTACTTTCATATGTCTCAGACAAACACGACTACCAAGTACACTCCTGAAACCTGGAAAATGCTGAATTTTAGCAGATTTTGGATTTTAAACTTCATTGGAGAACAGCAAGGAAGCTTTTTTTACCTCCCTGCCTGCCATCTGACACCTCCAGGGAAGGAATTCTACCTGATCAACACATCAAAGCTCACCAAGACGCTCTCATGGACCCAAAGGGACAGCCTTCCATCTCCAAGTCCCTCTGTGCAAAAATGAAGTTTATTTCCTACCTCTGGGGACTTTTTACCATCTCGTACCATCTATACTTTTCCCAGAGCCTGATGAAGGGACTTTGATCCTGAAAGCTTGCAGAAAAGAACAATTTTCTTGTGATTTTCCAGTTGGTCTAATAAAAGATTTGGAACCAAGAGTTCTAGTTTTTTTGTATGTAGTACTCTCACACATTTTTATTAAAAAAAAGAAAAAGAAAAGCAAAAAACCAACCCAACACAATGTCCTGAAACAGCAAAAAGTCCTGTTTGATCACTTTTTGCTCATGCAAAATTAATTTTGTTGGTTGAGTGGTTTGGTGTCTAAAAATTATGATCCTGCATTTTTAATGGCATACATTGTTGCCAAGGACACAACCCAGGGAAGCTGTTCTGAGGGATAATAGCAGGTTGACTTAAATTTTCATAAGTTATTGAAAAATGCCATTACCAGCTTGGATCCCAGGCCCCACGCCTACAAGGTTTTCAACATTCACAGCTCCCATTGACTTGCATGGAGGCTGAAGGTGCTGATACAGGAATTCTGTGCATTTTTAGATGGAAACATTTCATAATGTTGCATTGAATTTCATTGTATTGTTCTCATTTTTATCTTTGTATTATTTTTGTGTTGTGGCATGACATAAAGCAGGCACTTCTGAAGTGTCACATTTTTTCTTAACTGCGGTCACTGGAGACCCTCATCTTGGAAAAAAGAGCAGATATTTGAGCCTTCATTCTTATAATACCAATAACATATTTCAACTGTGAAATCATGTCATATCATGACATGCCAGTTGTAGTTGTTTAGCTGATGACATGCAAGGATGTAAAAATAATAAAAAATATTAAAATAAAATTCAAAATAAGATTTTGAGATTTTTTTCAAAATGACAGCTGCTTCATTTCAACTCTTTTCAAAGTGGAAAAGTTCACTGTAATCAAGAATATTACACCCCCTTCCCTCTCTCTTCCCCCTACACAACCTTCAAGGTCTTATTAGACAAAAAGCACTTTGGGGGCAGGTGCTCAGTATTTCAGTTGGTTTAATAAGTTGCATACCTCACTGGACTCCAGCATCACTAGATCTCCATGATCTGTGCTGGTCCTCTGGCGGTCCTCAGTTGGAATACAAGGAATTGACTTTAACCAAGGCCTAGTCTGGGCCCTGCTGATTTTAGAAATCTCCTCTCTCTCTGTGCCTTATTACCACCCCTACAGCCATCAAAAACACAGACTGAGGGCCCCGTAATGTAAAAGACAGATGCCTAATTGAAGAGCATTCGCACTGGGCCTCCCATTCTTCCAAGTTTGATAGAAAATAGCTCTAACCTTAGGGAATGTTGCTAATCCCATGTCTGTGCTAAGGGTTTTGAGTGAGTGGGCACAACTACGCATTCATGAATGTGCTGTAATAACAGGTACTAACAATGCACAGTAATGAATATTTTTTGTGGGATTCGTATATGCCCATTGGATGAAAGCTACTGCACGTTAGTACAGATGAACGCTTTTTGTGTGATGCTTAATGGCCATTGGACTACTCTACTACGCATTAGCACAGTTTTTGCCAGCTGCGCTAATGCTCAATAGAATTAGTCCAATGGGGATTAAGAGCAGGGTTCAAATTACAGAGGATCTTGGGGGGGGGGGGGGATGAGTCCCCCCATAAGAGATGAGCGCCCCCACTGTAAGATTTGAAAAGCATAACCTGGGAGGAGTTCTCCGATTTTATTAAGGCATCGTGATGGGCAGCCCCATTTTTTTTGCAGACCCCTCCAAGAGTCAAAGTGTAATTTGAATGTTGATTAAGCATCTCGTGTAGATGTCCCCAGTGAGAGGCAGGAATTTCCTTGTAGGCCTTGAGGCCCCCCTCTACATGTTACAGGTATTGTGCAATTAACTGGTTAATTGTGTAATTAACTGTCAGCAGCTCTATGTGCTAAGTACCTCTTACACTGTTAAAAGTTCCAGCCAGCTCTAAAGTTAGACCTCGAAAATGTGTACTAACTTGATAGCTGGTTGGTATCCAGCTTTACTTTGCAGGGGCTGGGTCTGCCCCTGCGGCTAAGAGCCCTTTCAACTGACTAAGCTCGAAGCCACAGGGGTGTACCATGTGCAGTTGGGGCTGGAAGTCCTGCAGCCGAGGGGATTGTCCCTCCTGGTGGCACCCCATGGCTGCCAGGACTGAGAGTCCTGCAGGTGTGGACTCTCAGTCCTGGCAATGACCCCATGTGGCAATGCCTTGGGGCTGTGGCCAGGGGGTGCTGCCACAGCTGTGAGTCTCATCAGCTATGGGACTTGCAGCTGTAGGAGCTTTTTACTTGCCAGTGCAGGGCGAGCCCAGGGTGGTGATCCCAGGCTCCCCCTGTACTGCCAATAAGGTGTGATGGGAGCTAATGCTGGATCCCACAATCGGCCTCCTGCCATGCACACAACTGTGTGGGTCACACTTGAGATCCTATCATGCCTTTACCTGAATGTCTAGAGAGGCCCATAGAAACAAGAAGCATTTCAGAGGGAAGAGGAGGACCCTGGCATTGTAAGAGCTGTAGTATAAATCCTCCTTAATTCCTGAATTTAACTTAGGTTCACTTTTCAGTTCCTAAGCCCCTTGCAAGGTAGGCAGAAGCACGCCATGTCCCATCACTCACTGGGCATTGCCAGAACCACATCCATGCAAAAAGTGGAAGCATAACACATGGCTCATATTGTGCTGACTCAGCCATGGCTTCATTTCCTTGCAGGATGTTTCCCTTCTTTGGGATTTTGGGGTTGCTGTTCCCGATTTAAGTGTTGGACGGTTGGTGGCCAACACATCACGAGCTGGTGATCTCAGTCCAGTTCCTTGTGGAAAACCAGATCCCACCATCTAGCACATGCGTTGTCAGTCTCGGAGGAAATGGAGTTGAGCGATAGGGTGGCAGTGTAGATTGACCTCTTGTGTGGCCCCAAAATAGTACACTTGCCAAGCGGAGGAGAGGCTGTGTAGAGAAGCTTGCCATGCCAGGGCTGGGCTGGTCAAATGGAGGACTTTTTTCCCCAAGGTTGTCAATCTGGGACCTACACGAGCACTATATCTTCTTAAAAAAACAAAATGGGGAAAAAAAATCCGACACAGGCAAGCCAGGGAAATGAATGACTCGGAGTTAGACAGGCAGAAACATTCTAACAAATGACACAAGTCTGATAAGGAAGAAAAAACCCTGCTTGTTTCTGAAGAAACAGGAACTAGTCCTAAGGGCCACCGATGACAGATTGAAACTCAGCCGGGCATGGCCCCTCAGTCTCCTTCGCCTCCCAGGCAACTTAAAAAGAAAGCTGACAAGGGCTGTGTTGGGGCTCCATCTCCAGCCCAGTTTCAGTCTGTGCTCTTGCTGGTTTGGGGCTCCCTCCACGGCTCTTTGCTGCTCGTGGCACCTGGGAGGTGTCCTTCAGGTGGTGGTTTTCCATGATTGCTTTCCATCATGCACCTAGACTTGCTACAGACATCCTCCCACAATTGATCCTGGGTAAGGCTCTCACTTCCAAGCAGCCATAGCCTCTGGAGTTAGGGTGGGTGCATTTGCCCCCGCCCCCCCCCCCTTTCATTCATGCCCACCTGTCCATAGGCTCTGTTGGGAGTTCAGATAGCCCCCAAACCCCCAGCTCACTAGCCTGGGCATAGAAGAGGTTCTCAGGCTGGGCATCAACTCGCATGCATTTAGTAAACAGGTATTAAGGGGCTGTCTCCACCTTCCTAAATTGTTGCTTTGCTGGATCTTGACTGGGGCGGGGGGTGGCCCCCCTATGGAGGTGGGAATGGCAAAATGGAATCGGGTGGGAACTGCAGGAGTGCTGTCCCAAAGCCCTTCTTGTTCTGCCATCCCTTTTTGAGTATTCAGCTCGCCCATCTTCAACCTGCTCACTGTTTTCCATGCAATAAGAGACTGGCTTTTTTTTCCCTTTGGCAATGAACTTGGGCTTTGAGAGAGGACTGCCAAACCCCTGTCATTAGCAGGTAGATACTGGCCATTTCTCCATTTCACACACTTTTCAAGGGGAACACTTTTTTTCCTGAGCTCTGCTGTGTCAGCTTGTTCTTGATTCAGTTTTCCCCCTGCTGCTGCTGGCTGCTGTGGAATTGCTTTTGGGCTCTGCCCCCCTGCTCTAACATAGATTTTAATCTTTCCGCCCCTGCCATCTGGAACCCTTTGCAAAATCTGAACCTTGGCTCCGATTTGACACAGAGGATAAGGACATAAGGAGGTTGGGCTTGTAATTCTTAGGAGCAGATGGATCTACCTTCAGGTTGATGTTTCTAACCAGGACAGAGATGGTCTCAAGGCAAGCACAACCAGCAAGGAGCCCTTGGAAACAGTGGGGAGCACCATGCTTATTTGGGGTGATAAGGACCAAAGAAAAGTAGAGAAGCAGCGATTGTGGATGTGTCTGCTTCCAAGCGATGTCAGAAACCTGGATCAGGACCAAGGAGGAATTGAAGCTGCCCAACCAAGGCAGGGAATACAGTCCTTGCCTGCTGACAAATGCTATGTCATGAGCGGCACCTGACCACCCCATTTTGGAAGGAGTATCTGGTGAGATGATAAATGAAGATAATTCAAGGCCTAACAGGGAAGACGCAGGACCTGAAAAGAAAGGCTGTGGATGTCTTCCTGGCATAATGAGAGAAGAAACGAATCCCATTGGAAGGCAGGTATGTTATTGTATGCAACCCTAAGGTGCATGTATTTGGGGGCAAAAATGTATCCTGTACAACATTGCTTTAGGTTTAATCCAACCTCTTCATTGTTCTTTAAGTGCCTTATTTTTAATTTGATCAAGCGGGACAATTTCTGAGAGAGATCAAGGCCCATTTGTGTCTTGCTGGCAGAGGAAAGGGGCAGAAATGGCTCACTGAGAGTATCTTCAGCAGAGGGACCTGGAGAAGGTCATACTGCCTGTGCAACCAGCCCTAGGTGTAAGTGCAGACTGGGGGCTACATGTCATTTAGGACACGTCTATGCTGCTCCTATGGAGCACATCCTGTCTACTGCCCCCCACCCCGCCCTACTTGATGTAAAGCAATGT